GGGCGGGTCTTGACGTGGGGGGGCAAAAGGGGCGTGACCCTCGAAAGAGCCTGGAGCATTGCCTAAAGGGAACTGCAGAGAGAGAGTGTTTTTCAGTAACGGAGCAGACCTGCCCCCCTCCCAAGAAAAGGGTGCAAAACATCAAAAAGGTAAATTTTGGAAAGAGGCTCTCTGGCAAATGGGAAATTCCAAGGGGAGGCACCCCATTCCCATAGAGTACCTATTTCTCTAACCTCCAAGGAAAGCACTGAATTGGAGTCAGGACAACTGAGTTTGCTGGCGCTGCCACTTGATGGCTGTGGTCATGAATAATCTCTTGGTATTGCTTAGCCTCAGTTTCCTCACCTATCAAGTGGTGTTGAGAGGAATACCTAACTTCACAGCATTGTGTGGGGAGTTACTCAAAAAATGGGTGTGAACATATTTTTAAACTGTAAAGTGCTGTTTCATTGTGTTATCATTCTTTTTTTCTTTCCAGAGACCCCCCCGGCCGCCCTCCTCCTTCCCTTGTTCCTGTGGCTGGGGGGGTACCACCTCCCTCCACCCTCCATACCATGGAGCCATCTCCTTTGTCTCCAAGTGGGGCAGCACTCCCTGTGCCTCTGTCGCTGGCCCCGCCCCCACTGCCCCTGCCTGCAGCTGCAGTGGTACACGTGTCCTTCCCGGAGGTAACCAGTGCCCTCCTGGAGTCCCTCAATCAGCAGCGACTACAGGGCCAGCTCTGCGATGTGTCCATCCGAGTGCAGGGCCGGGAGTTCAGAGCTCATCGTGCTGTCTTGGCTGCCTCCTCCCCTTACTTCCACGACCAGGTCCTACTCAAGGGCATGACCTCCATCTCGCTGCCCAGCGTCATGGACCCAGGCGCCTTCGAGACTGTCCTGGCTTCAGCTTACACTGGTCGCCTCAGCATGGCCGCGGCTGACATTGTCAACTTCCTCACAGTGGGTTCTGTGCTCCAAATGTGGCACATTGTGGATAAATGCACGGAACTCCTTCGCGAAGGCCGGGCCTCTGCCGCCACCACCGTGACCGCGGCTGCAGCCTCCTCAGTCACTGCCCCTGGTGCTGGGGTCCCCTCAGGGAGTGGGACCACTGTGGCCTCTGCCACCATGGGCTCTGTGCGCTCCCATGCCTCCAGTCGGGCCAGTGAGAATCAATCCCCCAGCAGCAGCAACTACTTCAGCCCCCGAGAGTCTGCTGATTTCTCATCTTCCTCCCAAGAGGTGTTTGCAGCTTCTGCAGTGGGCAGTGGGGAGCGTCGAGGAGGTGGCCCTGTATTCCCAGTCCCTGTGGTTGGCAGTGGGAGCGCTACCTCTGGGAAGCTGCTACTGGAGGCAGATGAGCTGTGCGATGACGGTGGGGACGGCAGGGGTTCGATGGTTCCTGGGGCGGCGCTCCGACGGCCCACCTATGCGCCCCCTAGCATCATGCCACAGAAGCACTGGATATACGTAAAGCGGGGTGGAAACTGCCCAGCATCAGCGCCCCTGGTTTCCCAAGACCAAGATCTGGAAGAGGAGGAGGAGGAAGACCTGGTTTTGACCTGTGAGGACGATGAAGAAGAGGAGCTAGGGGGAGGGTCGGGGGTCTCAGCGGGGGGAGGACCCGAGGCCACCCTTAGCATAAGTGATGTCCGGACCCTGACTGAGCCTCCAGGCAAGGGAGAGGAGCAGGTCAATTTCTGTGAGTCCTCCAATGACTTTGGCCCCTATGAGGGTGGGGGTCCTGGGGCAGAACTTGATGATTCAGGGAGGCCCACCCCTTCCTCCTATACCCCCTCCCTCCCATCACGGCCCCTGCTTCCTGTAGACGTGCAGGGCAACCAGATCCTAGTCTTCCCATCGCCTTCCTCCTCCTCACAGGCTCCAGGCCAGCCGCCAGGGAACCAAGCTGAACACGGGGCTGTGACTCTGAGGGGCACGTCCGCAGGGAGCCTGGGTGCCCCGGGTGGCGCTGGTGGGACCCCTGGAGGGACAGGCAGCGGGGACGGGAATAAGATCTTTCTGTGCCACTGCGGGAAGGCCTTCTCCCACAAGAGCATGCGAGATCGTCACGTGAACATGCACCTCAACCTGCGGCCCTTTGACTGCCCCGTGTGCAACAAAAAGTTCAAGATGAAGCACCACCTGACCGAGCACATGAAGACACACACAGGCCTCAAGCCCTACGAGTGCGGCGTCTGCGCCAAGAAGTTCATGTGGCGGGACAGCTTCATGCGCCACCGAGGACATTGTGAGCGCCGGC